AAAAAAAAAAAAAAAAAAAAAAAAAAAAAAAAAAAATATACCGTCGAATTGAATACCTCCTTCTTTTGGGAAGTCGGTCAAAAAATAGGAAACCTGCATTATTTTTATTATTTTCTTATACAATGACATTTGATGTTTACATGTTCAAATTTGCAATTTAAATAAATTAAATAATTAACATCTGTTTTATTTAGTGTATTCATGTTTTAGAGGTTTCCACGGAATATCCATACATTATCATGTAGTCTCTGTTTTATCCGAAAGAATGAGAGAGATGTAAATATATTTTGATTTTTTGATTAAATACCTGATTTATTTAAACATTTTTACATTGTTAATAATATCGAGGCTTTAATAACATTTAAACACAAGTCGTTGAACACATTTATTAACAAGGAAGAACTAAAACAAAGTAAAATAATAATAATTACTATTATTTTTTAAAAACAATAAAGTTAAGATATATTTTAATACTAAGCGCATCATTAGGGTCATTAAAACCTTTACAGCTAAATATTAAAACTTGTCGACATTTGTAGAATATAATTTCTTAGTTAAATTGGATAACTTTGCAAGACTTTTACAGTCTTTAACTAGGAAATAATTACAAACTATTGTTAGAAAACATCAATAATGATGCGTCTTATACTACTACTAGTCTTAATTTTAATACGAAAAATAAGAGTACAATGAACTGCCACAGATTCCTTAGTCGAAAATATGAAGATTTAACCCAACTTACCTCTATCCAAAAGGAATGTTTATCAAGTTATAAACGTGTGGTCCAATTTATTAATGAAAAACTGATTAGACAACTGTAATGTAAGGGTGTGAATGAAACGGCGGTTGGTACTGAACGGATTTATTAATCATAATTCGGACGGTACATTATTTACGAATACCCACATATACACCACAACTATTGGCAGAGGAATCTTTACTATTATAATAAAGCGTAAACACACACTTCTTTGTTGCCTAAGATATCAGCAATCTCAGCATGTTTTCGAAGAACTCTTATTTAATAAAAAGACCTACCTACACTTACGTCACGCTTTAGGCTATATATTTTCACGCTGTGTAACTTAGGGGTAAATATTTTGGATAAAAAACCCTAATGTGGGAAAGAGACTATAAGTTGTTGTCAACGTCAAGGAAGCAAGGTTGCCATGGTTTGACATCATGTCATGTCATTTTGACATTTGCAATTGATAATTTGACAAACGTGAACAATAAAATTAAATTTTTATAAATTTATGCGGAAAAAGTCGCATGGGAACAGCTAGTCTTACTTACAGTATGTTCAGTAGACATTTTTTAACAACTCTAATACCACCAACTCGCTTGCAAGTTCATTCTCGCGTTCATTTTCACATCACGCATGTGTTAAAGATGCACTGAACGTGTTAAATTATAGTTTGGACATTCCCTTATGTCTTAACACCAATAGTGACTGTCGTATTCGTTGAATTAGCACTTGGTCTTTTGTCTACTTCTTCCTTTTCCGCGGGCGCGACGTAGTTCCACGTCTGAGTGACGCCCGTCCCGAACAGAATGAAGTACACCGCGGCTGCGATGTACAGAGATGCGCCCGTGAAGAATACAGGCCGCCATTCCGCAATGCTGTTCTGTTAAAGTGACAGAGATAATTATTTTCAACAATAAACTACACCAAATGGAACAATAAATGTTCTATATGCATCTCTAATGGGCCTTTAACTATATTGCTAGCAATCGCGTTCATTACAACTGTAATGTTATTGCGGCATAATTTTGGATTGTTGTTTTATTTTTAGCGTTTTAGGTACAGAGTAGGGCGCGGATGGACGACGGCCGGGGCGACCACCCAGGGTGACCGCCCAGGGCGCCAGATAGAAAAGGGCGTATATGATCTCGAATTGTTGAATCTCACATAACCCCCAATAAGGGAGCGTAGTAGAAATCATGCCCAGGGTAATGATAGCTCTAAAACCTGCACCGTTTTTTTGGTTTAAATTATAGGAACTGCTAAAACATAACTTTATTAAAATAGAAACTGCTTACCCCATTCTTAGTGAAGTGTGCGGTGACCAAAGGTGTGACAAATCCCGCAGTGTTTCCGATGCCGTTAGCGATGCCGTACAATGTGCCGGCGAAGTTTGGCGCCAGGTCCTGATGGTTGACGAGGTTAGTGAGAGTCGCGGCTCCATTGGAGCCCATGGAGAAGGTGATCAGAGCGACGGAGAGGATGGGAGCGCAGCCAGTGTACCCGAGCCCGATCAGCAACAGACCAGGCAGCACGTGGGAGAATAGGCAGAAGAACTTCCTTATAAATGTTGTTGATACTACGTTTTGTTTGACGATTCTGAAATAGGAAATTAAATACTTATAGAACTTACTAAGTAATTTACAGTTTTTTAAACTTATATTACTTACTTACTATACTTACTTATACTTATATATAACAGTTATAAAATAATGCTGAGAAAACTTCAACGAGTTTTATTCTACTAAACCAGGAAGCTACCAATATATGTTGATTAGTTATACATTAATATTCTGCGCTTATTTTCAGCGAACTAAATTAAGTATTTTATTATAACAGCCTGCTTTATAAATCTACACAATAACTTTACCCACCGGTCACCGATAGCTCCAAAGATCAATGAGAATATCATCCTCGCTAGATACGGCAGCGAGGAGAGCGTGCCTGTCGACGTCAGGTTGAAGCCGAGCGCGCTCGACATGAATTTGGGCGCAGCTGTCGTCACGAAGTACAAGCCCCAGTTGTTGCCGTATGTCAGCACCACCATCGCCAGGAAAGGAAATGACGTCAGAATACTCTTGAACGGCGGCATCACCTGAGGAAAACAACATTTTTTATATACAGGACTGGAAGAATTGGCATGTGAATCTCTACCATTGTTATAAAAAGGAAAGATTGAGCCGTTAACAAAAATTCTTTTACCTTAAAAAAGTTACGTCATCAGTGAGTAACATAGGCTATGTTTTTTTATTTAACGCGGGCGAAGTCGCGAGCAACACATATTAACAATCTTACCCTAGTTTCCTTAGTACTTCGGTTGACTTTGTCTCCGATCGCTTCTAGAATGTACTGCTTCTCGTTGTCCGAGATGCGGGGATGCTGCACCGGGGAGTCGTACACGAGGAACCACCAGAGGGCGCACCACACCGTCGCTATGAAACCTAGCATATACGAGTAAAACAACAATCAAACATCGAATACCTAAAACTGAAACATCACACTTTATTGCTTGTAATTCCACCTACTTTACTCAGTTTCAAATATTTTTTAAATATCTATGAATGTAATTAGGTCTCAAAGGCGCATATAAAGCAATTAAGAAAACTGTTGAATAAAGACGTATATAATTTTAATTTGAAAGAATCTCTAGTGCCTATAACACTAGTAACTATAACACGCTACAGGAATACAAATTACACCTAATTTATGGCATTTTTATAATCACACACAAACAAAATCTAGTTTTCATACTTTTTCTTATATTCAATAACATTTAATTATATTGAATAATTCACCTGGTATGTAAAAGGCGAAGTCCCAGCCGAAGTTCTCAATGAGCGGTCCTGTGAGGGACCAGGTGACTACGGTGCCGATGGCTCCGCCGAGTAGAGCGCTTACAAACTTGCCCTTCTCAGCCGGCGGCGCCCAGTGCGCCACGAGCGCGTGTAGAGCGGGGAACAGGAAACCCTGAAAATATGTAATTATATGTTGTAAGTTCGATTGTTTTGTTGTGCCAGCACACAGTGACACAAATCGGGCATGCCCATAGGACAGCCTTCTTACCGATTTGCGCCCGTTGCAGAGTAAGTAACGTAAAACTAAACTTTTATACTCGTATTTGCCACTAGTATCTGGTCTACGTTTATTGAAAGCTGGCATCCCTAAATGCAGCTATCTAACAATGAAGAATTTAATAATAAACAACTGTATATATTACTAAAAGTGCAGTATTAAAGAAACCCAGGAATCATGCTAAATGTAAACGTTTGGATTTAGCACATATCACTATATCAGCTTGATGTAAATCGGCGAAATTGGGCATTAGTGGGCGTGGGCGTTTATTTGTAACGCCGTTAGGTTTTTAATTCCGCGAGGACGAAGTCGCGGGCTAATAGATACATGAAAGAAGAGTATAAACAGACTTGCAGCTGCTAAACCGATGAAGAAGCGAACAGCGACCAGGACGATGTAATGCATCCTCGCGGCCTGCGGGGACAGGATGGTCAGGACCGCACTGATCAGCATTGTGGTGAAGACCACGTTGCGAGGTCCCCACAGCTCGGCTAATGTGCCCCCCACTAGTGAGGTGATCGCGTACCCCCAGAAGTAACCTGACAGCACGTACGCTTGTTGCTGCGCCGTCCAGTTAAATGTAACCACATCTTCAGGCTGGAAATAAAAACATACATAGTTAAAAGCGCGTTGTTACTTAGTTTATAATATACCCTGTTAATATTGGTACTACTCAGTGTATGTAAATGTATTATGTATGCATGTTTACACGTAATAATAACAATGAATTGTAATTTTTTTATATTCGTAAAGCAGAATAGGCGTATCACATGCTCAAAATCATTCTATGTATCATGGTATAATCTTTGATAAGGAAGTCGAATCAACTGCTATCAAAGTATAAAATAATGTTTGTATCACTTCATCTGACATCAAGTGTAACGAAAAATTATTTATAATGACTATCTTATTTTTGCACTAGATTTTAAAATCAATTCAAGTCGTTACGGAGATAGCAGTCGCTTTGGCTTTTGACAGTTCAGAATTGAAAAATTAAGTTATAATTCACGTCAGTTATCCTGCAGCGAAAATCCCGGTAAAATCGGCCTAGCCGTTTGCAGATGCCCGGAAGAATTGCGGCTTGTAGACAAACAGAGAGACAATTTTTTTCATTCGAAATTTTCTTATCAGCTACGCTATGGAATTTCAATATCACATACAAACACTTCAATTTTAGTAACTGTAGTATAGATATTAAAGTGTATAAAATAGTGAGTTGTGACGTCACAATTATCTTAACACTTGATAATTTACTTGATCTTGATAATCACAAGCAAAAAAAGATAAAGGCTACATCGTGCGAAAAACTACCTACAGATACGTTCATGTTGAAATGTGGAAAAAATATTACATAAAAAATGTATATTATATCTCTATATACATTCATACATTTCGGGTAATAAATATATTTTGGAAACATGTAAATTAATTATTGATTGATAATCAGTCTTAGTTTTTCTTAAGACTTCAGTGTAATTTGGAAACGATGAACACGGATGTTTCATATCTCTACTCAGAGTATGTTAAGATAAGTGATAACTTTAACAAATAAAGAACCACTTAACGAATGTAATCAACGAATACGACGCAAGTTATAATAAGGCTAATGAACTGAAATTATTTGTTTACATTTAATGAATGTGCTTTAAATATTTCATTACAAGGCGTGTTAATAACTACTTAAAATTTTGAAAGAGATAGATTGAGATCGATTTTTATGCACCTTTTTGCCATTGGAATTGGAATATCTGGATATACGTCAAGTATGGACTTAACACGAATATTGTTATTAAAACTGTTATAGCCGGAGATAGATTATTTTAAGATCTTTTAACCTTATATTTTTGCAATTATATGTAAAATACTTAAACGTATACACAGTTACTCTGAATGACAACGTTATCGATTGAAAATTGATATATCGTTAATATAATCTTGTTTCCATCCAATACTGATAAGAAATAAAATAAAATAAAATAAAATCATACCGACGAATTGAGTACAGGAGGTACTCGATTCGTCGGTATGATTTTATGTATGTATGTATTACGTATGTATGTATTACGTCTTTTGGGAAGTCGGTCAGAAAGAGGATGAGATGATTTTTGAGCATAATCAAAAAGGGAGTGATGACTAAGATGACGTATGGTAGAGTTATGTGGAAGACAAAAACCTGTTGCGCCGACCCTACGGGAGTATGATAAGGAAGATGACAAAAATCTGTACATGGCGGCCATAGCATAATGTAAATTCTTTTAATTAATTTGTGTAAACATTTTGGAATACACAAGTTTTAAATTTACATAAATTTTCAATGGCTAGTGACTCTAACAACATATAGAACACTATATGGTATAAGGTTTTACCTGTCGCAGATGTTGCCTCGTGAGTGTCGTACTATTGACGAAGGCCTCACACTCGCTTTTCATTCTGCGAACAATACCAACAATGCTAATTCTATGTTATTACCATCTCTAACATACCACAAACTTAGAAGAAAAATAATGTATTTGATGTAGTTACCGAGCTCTGCTTACTAACGTTCAATGTTTCTGAACGAGACATTTATAGCTGGTTTCCAAAGCTAAAACACGCATAAAAACATGTTATTTTATATTAGTCTCGTTGAGAAGTCTGAGATAACTAAATGTTTTATACACGTGTGGAAACTCAAGGCAATTCTCACCTTTTTAGTTTGTATGAAAACTGTTTGACATTTCAGAATGTAGACGTGAGTGGGAATATTCGGCTGTAGTATTAAATATAAAACAAATGACTTACGATGTAGTTTTGTCGTCCTCCGGCACCATGGCAATGATGTTGACACTCATATTGACCCGCATCATGTAATTGACCCAGGAGGCAAAGAACATCATGATTGCCACACTGAACCGCGCCGGTACCACATCTTTGAACACATTCAATATTTAACTACCCTCATTTACCACATATTCATTAAATAAACATACAAACCACTACAGACGTTTTCCAAAAAACTAAAATTATTAAATAATTTGTGAAGAGTTCTGGTATTGTTAACAAAATGTCCACACGCCACATATGAATCCATTTTAAAGGTTGTTTGGCAAGTATGATTCAAAACCACTTTGAGAAAGATTCGTTTTATTTAATTTAGTGTACAAAATGTAGAATATATGTCTAATACCATCGACTTAACAGACGTTAAAAGTTTGTATAAGATGTTGTTCTTTAAATAGAATCACATGAAAATTGGATGAACCACTAAGAATAAATAATTAACTACTAGGTAGTATGGGCGTCACAGCCATGTTATGCCTTAATAAAATATGGTCTTCATTACCTCTTATGTTTTCTTCCAATTTGCACAGAATACCTTACCAATATGGCCGTCGTGTCGTCGAGCTAATGCAACACCCTTATTCTGACATCCGACTACTATCCGATTATTAACATAACAAACACAATTACGACATTTTAAAACCATGTCATAAATATTTTAAATAATGTTTTGGATCACAATTACAAAGCTTATATCGTTATTTCAAATTATGACAAATGGTACTGATTTATAGCACAGACTAACAACCTTCAAGAATACAGAATACGTCAAAGTAGTCAAAAAGCTAACAGTAGTTTATGCATTAAATAAGGAGAAAAACTTAGCTTTGAACTGTTAAACTTCACGCAAATGACAGCTAGTGTTAATATAGGATAATTAGCTAGATTTTTGTTATACGTTATACAAGAATACACCTACCATATATCGAAGACTTCAACGAAATTTAATCAGGTTTGACAAACAGGTTTATCCAACGAAAATTGCACTCTAGCAATTAAGTTATGGCTTAGAATGTCAGGTTGTTATACTTATTCATACAGTTTTTTTGTTTCATAATCATCGTGGAAATAAACTATAAGTAGGTACATATTCAAACATGCCAACTATGTACTATGATACAAAGATATTTTCATACATATATTATAAGAATGCGCAAAAAATATTTTAAGATAGAGAGATATCTGCTCATTGCGTACATATACACGTAAAAAAATATTGTCTATCTGTCTGTCCACATGCTACGTTTGTTTCGGGTAATCCGATTTTGGCGGGAATACCGCCGAACGCAAGTAATTTCGTCAGTACCTACTTTGACGGAAAGGTAGCTAATGCACATGGGAATAATTTGAACATCCTTTTTTAAACCGTACTAACGAAGTCGCGGGCATCCTATAGTTTTAAATTATTTCAGGTTTAAATGTATATCTATCTTAGTCTAACTAATATAATAAATGCGAAAGTTTAGATGAATAGATGGATGGATGTTTGTTGGAGTATGTAGGCTGAACGGATCTCAATGAAATTTGCCATAGTTGTAGAGGATAGTCTGGGAGAACACATAAGCTACTTACTTTTGTTTTTTTTTTATTCTACGCGGACGGAGTCGCGGGCGAAAGCTAGTCATATAATAAATGCGAAAGTTTAAATGGATGGATCGATAGATGTTTCTTACAGTTTGTAGCCTAACCGGCTGAAGGGATCCCAATGAAATTTGGAAGATGTAGTGGATAGTCTGGAAGAACATAAAGCCTAATTGCTTTTGTTTTTTTTTAACTCTGCCCAAACGGAGTCGCAGGCGAAAGTTAGTTAATAAACAAATGTAACTATCTCTTAATTACACCGTCTGTATGTTTTTAACAACTACCTTCACGTCATAGAAAGAAATAAAAATATTTACAGCACAACTGAAAATACTTACAATTTTTTTTAAAAAAGAATTTCATTATTACAGAGTATACACGTACAATTCACAAAAACACGCACGAAGGTTAAATACGCGTGCAACAAATGTAAGGCGACTTCGCGCGCGCCTGCCTTCCTGATATAACGCGAGCGTTATTTCAAGTCACTAGTTACAATCACCTGTGTCGAGATATGTAACGGCATCACGTATTTCGAGTCAAATTAAAAGTAGTGATTTTTGAATATGCGTTGCTCGGGCGGGCTCAGTTTCGAGGTCGTGATTTATGAATTGCGTTGAAGGGGAGCGCTCGGTTTCGAAGTAGTGATTTTTGTAAATACTTTAGTCGGGCGTGTTCGGTTTTGAAGTCGAGATTTTTGTAAATGTGTTATTCGGGCGAGGTCGGTCGGTCAACAGGGAATATCTCTTCTATATAACTTTGATATGTAACTGTTCTTTAAATAAACGCCCCATTTTTAAGCCACCAGAAGAAGAAGCTAAGCACCTACCAGAGACTACCTAAAAACAATCAGGACATCTCATGAATCACCTGCATCCTCCAGCTCTTAACCACAGTCACCCGCATCCAACTACTTCCACTTGCATTCATTGTAATATCAGGTGCAACTACTAATTATAAGCATACACCTCCGCGGCCCTACCACTCAGACCACGAGGGCTGCGAGAGGACAAGGCGAAACCATAAATATTCCACAGCCCCCGCGGCCGCACCTCCTGCGGCCACAAAGGCTGCGAAAGCGCGGGATAAAGCAGCACCCAAATCACAGCCCCCGCGGCCCTCCTCCCCAAAAACTGCTGGTCTCTAGGATTTGAACACACACACACACATATTTGAACACATAAAAGTATGTTTTGTTACCTTTCGTTGCTACAGCGTACAAACCCTCGACATCGTCGATCTCGTCCAGGCAGTCGTCCGATTCGTCGCTCACATAGTTCTGCAGGACTACACTGCCGCGTACTTTGCAGATTATATGACCCCTTTGGTCGCACTTATTACAATTTAAAGTTTTAAATCGGCACCAAGCCTTGTGCGCCTTCCTGCAGCGCACAGATGCGCGGGGTTTCGATCTTGGTGCCGCTCCGGTCGGTCTCGCTGCCATTCCGCTCGGCCTCGCTGCCATTCCGCTCGGCCTCGCTGCCATTTCGCTATGCCTCGGCCGAACCGCTTCGCTCTTCGCTGGAGATAGGTCCAACACTGGCTCTCAGTTGCCGCTAACCTAAGTTCCACCGCCTACTAGTACTGAATAGTATTTTCAGTGAGTATTCTCACCCGCATCGCGACACAAACTGGTCATGCAAGCTGCTTGATATTCGAGCATGAAGTGCACTTGCCAAAGTTGCATGTGGCCGCGAAACGTCTACGCTTGCAAATATAGTCAGTGATCGACTAGTCTAGTTTAAAAAAAGTTATACTCACACTGCAAGCTGTAGTTAAGCCTGCTAGATAAATTCCAGTATTTTTTCCGAGAATATGTAGGTGATTGCACTAAAAATAGGCAACCTGTATTATTTTTGTTCGTACATACTATGACATTTGATGTTGTAATATTCAGAATTTGCAATTTAAATAAACTAGATATTGAACATCTTTATTATTTGGTGCATTCGTGTTTCAATCGTTATCACGTTGTCTTTGTTTTGTCTGAGAATGAGCGAGATGTCAATATGTCTTTGATTCATTTTTGAATTATCGATTGAATGCCTTATTCGATTAAATAAAATTTACATATGTAGTTAATGTTGAGGAGTTAATAACATTGAAACACATGTCTCTGTCAAACAGATTTTATTAAGAAGAGAACAAAGGAATTAATAATACATTTTAATATTAAGCGCATCACTAGGACTCACAAAAATCTTAACTAATTATTAACTTATCGACATTTGTAGACTATAATTTCTTATTTCAATTCGATAACTTTGCAAGACTTTACAGTCTTTTAATAGGAGTAATTTACAAACTATTGTCTGAAAACATCAATACTGACATCCGTTGGTAGTCTAGATTTTATTTGCACAGATAGATAATACATTTTGCATTAAAAGTAATTAAAAATGGACGTAGAAAGCGACAAATTTAGGGCGTGGCGTAGGTGTATTTACTAGAATACAATAATATTGCATTTCGTATGAATTTGTGTGAAATAATTGAAAAATGTGCAGTTATTGGTAGGAATTAATTTAATGAAACATTAAAAATATTTTATTACCTAGGTAATAAGATTTATTACTAAGGTGACTAGGTACGTAAGTACGTCACTAATATTGAATACCTTGTTTGGTGGGAATATTTATATAATGGCATCCCCAAACGATGGTCTAGGCTAAAAACCCTCCCCCACGAAATACTTTTTATTCCTAAGGCAATGATTATCAAAGTGTGAGTCAATTTTTAATGAAAAAATGACTATAAAACGTTTAGTTTTATCTGTGTAAACTAAGCGTATGTAGCGAGTTTTATATTGATTTTCCTTTTATTTTTCGATTTTCTTGGGGACCCATCCTTTAGCGACGCCCGTATATAGTTAAGTCTTGGATTTATCTAACTAAAACTAGATTACGAGCCGCTTTCGCGCCAACGAGTCTTAAATATTCGTCTAACTCTTCACTATTAAGTCGACTCTTTGATACTTTTCTCTTATAAATGTTATATAGTAAGACTACGCCCTTGTAATGTATGGGTATGTAGTTGATATCGATTTGTTTTGGGAAATTTTCATCAACACTATCAACATCTGGATCCAAACGTGAGTATGGAGAACGATCCAATTTCGGTAAACATTTTTCTATGGGAAACCATTTATATGTCTCGGGACAGAGCAAATCTGAAGGATGGAAGTTACCTTTGTATCTCATTTTACAACACGAATGTATGTAAAATCCTAAATAATAATACTTCAACTCGGGACACAAGGCATGCAAGTTCCTTGTGAATGCAATCTCCCTGTAAGAGAAAAATAATTTTAGCAAATACACCAAACAAAGTATATAAAAAGCAAGAAAACAAGGTTCTAAGATGAACCATGAGAAAAACAACTATGAAAGCCTGGTAAAGGAAATAATAAAAAATACAGTTTACGTAAAATCTAGCTGTTGCCTGCAATTCCGTCCATGTGGATATAAAAAAAAAAAAAAAAAACCACTGTGTTCTTTCAGTGTTCTACATATCTGTCAAATATCATCGAGATCTGTTCAATTATTTAGGCTACAAGCTCTAAAAAACATCCATCCATCTAAACTTTTGCATTTATATTAGTAAGATTACCTTAGTGCTCCATATGTTCCTAGGTTTAAATTCATATAATCTGGATCATAAAAGAAGTACACAGATGAGACACACTTGGGCAAAATATCAATAACACCAACAGCTAATATCTTCCCGTCCAGCCAGTACTGCTGGTGGAAGGAACCGTACCCTGACGGAGGTCCTACTTCTGAATGCTCCTCCTAGAAATGTTAAAACACATATATAATACCAACCATGCTTATGTGTTTAGAATATGTGTGTTTTATAGAATAATATTGCATTATATTAAAATTAATTAAATTACTCAACACTCACAAAAGCTTTTTAAATTTGGTATATTAGCCATTGTCCAAAATCTTTTCGCGTGGAAATAAAAAATCAATTCCATTGAAAAACGTTAATCTGTTCCGGAGATATTATCCATCCATCCATCCATCCATCCATCGATACATTCATCCGTCTGAACTTTTGTACACAATCTTAATTCTTATTTAAAATATTAGAAGTAAGATTGTGTAATATTATTATACAATATTAAAAAGCACTAGAAATATAGAAAACAATCCTTAAAATAATTAAAGTAAAGTATTACTTAAAATGGACAAATAAGACACATTTTTGTTAAAAAATTGAACTATTGTGTTAATAAACAAATTCAAGCGATCAATCATTGTCCAATAAACTACTAATCAGACAAAATAACTCACCAATAACGGACTATGTACTAAAAACTCCTTGAATTTGGTCTCAGTGCACTTCTCGGGTGTGTCTCCGTGGATCTTCATCTGATACTTGACGTATACATCATGTGTCTGCTTGGCGGTGGCCAGCCACTCGCCGCTAGGGGGCGTTGTTCGCACTAATTTAATCTACAAAAAATATAACATAGTTATTCAAAACAAAATCATATACAAACTGTAAAGTTAGCATTTGAATTTGTAATTTATAGTTAGTTAAACGACACATAATAATTTATGTTAAAACCAAAGATATTTAATATATAGAGAAGGCAGTGAACAAAAAAAAATCACCAGTACTTTCTCTATAAGGTACTATATCAATTGTCGAGTTTAGTGCCACCTCGTGTCCTTCGTCATGTAAAAAAACATTTTTTTCAATTATAATAACCTCCATCTTATCTTACAAAATAAAATATTTAGTGACACTTATTGGCAATTAATTGAAATACAATTAATAATTGACGTGTGGTTTTAGGAAGTGAACTGTCAACTATGCCTCATCTATATATATATTTAAGTCATAAATTATTTTATCCACTTTTGGTTCACATTACCGAAGGTAGATGCTTTAATCTAGCAAATATACAATCAAATAAAACAACGAAGAAGCGAACACTGATATAGTACTGTACTAAAAGTACAGTCCGATTAGTACAATGCCGAGTAACATTACTTTTTAGTCCATCGTACTTGTACTACCCAAGACTACTCTCTGGTACTAAACTTTTTGTTACCTCAAGTTTGTGTTTCACATTTTCTGGTAATTCGTTGATAAAATCCTCAATTTGTTTTTCCTTGTTCTTATTTACATCAGGTAATGTAGTTATATCAACACCCTTGTCTTTTAGTTTTTGCAATCTTCTCTCGCGTCTTATTAGCTTTGCTTTTTTGCAAGGTGCTTTATTAGGATCTGGCCCCATATCTACAATATTTAATAATCACTTAAATAAATAATTACTTTACTGAAAAAAAAAAATTCCTAGCTTTTCCTATTTACCTTTAGTAAGTGGTAAAATTTTAGAACTTCCTGGTAGAGAATCAGTCTGCATCGTTTTCAATGATGTATCTATAAAAAAAATAGTTTTTAACAAAACATTCACTTTTTTAATTAATTTAAGAATTAGTCCACTTTATTTAATCATACTAATATTATAAATGCGAAAGTTTAGATGCATGGATGGATGGATGGATGTTTGTTAGAGTTTGTAGCCAAAACGGCTTAATGGATTTTAATGAAATTTGTTACAGATGTAGATGATAGTCTGGAAGAACACATAGACTACTTCACTTTTGTTTTTTTTTTAATTCCACACGGACGGAGTCGCGCGCGAAAGCTAGTATAGCACAAAAACTATGACACTATGTTTATTACTTAAGATTAAACACAAAATTCAATACCTTTTTCCACTGTCAAATCATCAGAAACTTCTGGTACATCATCACACATGTAGGGAATTGGTGATGTGTCACCTAGAAAGAAGCAAATAATTAACAATTTAATTTTATCTTATTAAAAAGTAATTTAGTATTAAAACATGAATAATAAATTGGAATACAGAAATAAGAATTTCCTCAGTACTTTAATTACTATATTAAAGTTATCTTACTAATCTTACTAAAATTATAAATGCGAATGTTTAGATATATGTTTGTTAGAGTTTTTAGCCTAAACGGCGTAATGGATCTCGTTGAAATTTGGCATAAATGTAGAGTATTCTTGAAGAAAACATAGGCTACCCATTTTTGTTTTTTTTTTCTAATTTCACGCGGACAGAGTCGCAGGCGAAAGCTAGTTGTTTGTAAATTACTATAAAATCAAGTTTCAAGCATACAACATATAAACAGGAATTTAAAAATTTTAACATGTTTCTTTCAAATCAAACTTCATACTAATATTATAAATGTGAAAGTTTAGATGGATGGATGGATGTTTGTTAGAGTTTGTAGCCTAAACGGCTGAACGGATCTCAATGATATTTGGCATACACATAGAGGATAGTCTTTAAGAACACATAGGCTACTTGGTTTTGTTATTTAATACCACGCGGACGGAGTCGCGGGAGAAAACTAGTATTATCATATTTTATCAATATTATCATAACACAAATTTTCTTAACTAAAGTCCTATCATTGATATTATATCTATATCCTATCATCATTGGATTTGAAACAAAAAGAAAAATGTCAACTTTTGAACATTGAGTTATTCCACTTATTACTTTAGTGAATGATTATACAATTTTGATAACTGTACTTCAGACCCAAATTATCTTTTATCCTTATCAGTGATGCCTTACACTCTAAAGATAAATAGATACAACACATTACATAACCCTTAAAATGATATACATTTCTTATTGATAAAGATATGGATGTTTGTATCTTGGCCCCCGTCTATCTTCCTCCCTGTATGATCTCATTCCTCCTGATATTCCTCGCCCCATTGATCTCAAATCGCTTCTTTCCCTTGTGAACTCTCCTTTCGTTTATATTCTTAGTTCATTCATCAATCACAACAATATTAAGCTGTAGATTGTCTGTCGTTTTTCCATTAAACTCCTGTATATGCACCGCGGTAGTCTTAGTTGTGTTAGACTATTATATGTACTTGACATTGGCGAAATCTCTATGGAAACGCCATTAACACAAAAGTGAAGTGAAGTGAAGTTTGTATCTTGTGATTATGATACTAGTACTAGCGAATTCGCCCATTTGAAATAAAAATAATTATAAAAAAACAGCCAATGTTACTCACTAATAACATAGCTAATGGTGAAAGAATTTTTGAAATTGGTCCAGTAGTTTTTAAGTTATTTCGATACATACAAATATTCAAAAAATACAAAGCTTTTTTAGAATTTAGAATATAAGTATAGAAGTGTAGATGGTGTAAGGAAAGAGAGAACATCTACACTTTACAGGCACTCAACACATAGTCCCATGTTTCTCATACAAACCCTTGATTATAGACAAACTGCATTTTATAGTATAACTAGAATTCTGAAATACTTCTAGTGAAATCTAACTAATTCTCACACAATTGTATAAGATTAGCCTCGCTTATTTCAAAATATATGTTTATCTCAAAATAGATTGTTGTAATTAAAAAGTAATAAGCCTATGTGTTCTTTCAGACACAGCTGTGCCAAATTTCATCTTGGTTTGTTAAGTTGGTTAGATAGTACATAGTAACACACAACATACAATCCTGATATGGATTTGTTTAACACTAATCTTGCTAACATTGTAAGTAATTTAAGTGGTAAATTATTTGATTGTCCAACTCTCTGGCCACTTATTTTACATGTAACTTGTAAGATTTTTACTATTTTTAATATTGTTTACATTTTTCTCATTATTCACTGTTTTCATATTCATGTTCTCTTAGCGATTATCATATCATTATTTTCATTGTTCATTTGCAAAAACTAACATGTCTAGTTTTCCTGTATAGTAAAAAAATAAAAAAAAACATAAAAAGTCAAATATAGTAATGGTCTACATGTATGAAAGTTGGCATCCTTCAGTTAACTTAATTTTGGGCTTTTATCTATATTAATATTATGAAGAGGAAAGATTTATAGTTTTGTATGTATTGGAATAACTCAAAACTACTGGGCCGATTTAAATTAAAAAAAAAGTTTGACCATTAGAAAGGTAATTCAACTTAACTTTGAGTAATATAGGCTATGGTTTTTATTACTTTTTTTAATTGCATGCGGATGAAGTCATGATCAACAACTAGTTATAGAATAAATTAGATATTGTTATCTTACCTATAGCAGAATCATCCTGGTCATTGTTACTAGAAGTAAATGTAACATTATCTATATTTATCATTTGTGGATCTTGTTTAGGTGTTATGAATTGTTCACCCATATTCTCAATCTGTTCATAACTTTGACTAGTTGACATCCTCCTGTCATCTTTCTTTGACTCTTCACTTTCACCTGACAGATACTTGTTTACTCTCTTTAAGATTTTCTTCTGGGATTTAGTGGTTTTAAATTCCAATGCCTTGCATCTAAAACCATTTATTTATAATAAAAAACAAAATAAATCTAGAATGAGATATCTAAATATTCAATTTGGTATTGCTAAATGAGGGTACTTAGCGGAACAAGGGAAAAAATATGTTGCAATAATTTTAAGTGTATCTTACACAAGGACAACATAGATTAGTATGGCAACAGATGATAAGATTATTTAAAACAAAGTATTTATGTGATGACATTCAGTTAAGACAGTAATACAAGCAACATATCTCTTTTCTTACTTCTTTATATTACTTCTAGTTAATTTTGACACAATAAAACTTAAAACACATTTCAAACATACAAACCTTATAGTATATGAAGGACAACAAGTAACATCTAATGTAGGTTTGTAGCAATATTTTCCGGAACGCCGCCAGCCTCTGTCTATCAAGTCTTGATAGTCGCTTACAGTCATTCTGTGAGCCCATATGCCTTAAACAGAATTAACAACGCATTTATGACACTAAACTAATTGTAGATACTGTGTCAATACAACTATCATGAAATAAAATAGTATCAGCGTTAAATCGTTACAGAAATGTGAAAATAATCAAAAAGCAAAATATTACCGTGACTGTAACTGGTATCAGGTTTCTTACAATAGCCACACTTATATCGTTCATGTTCTGCGTAATACTCGATGATACTAAGAGACATCATTTTATTTCACACTTAATTAATAAAGCAGAACATAAATTTGGCCGAACAAAAATGTAATTTGTAAACAATGTTGAGAAGAAAGAAAGTGGTTTTATAATTTATTTTTTCAAGTGGTTTACATTAACTGTCAGGCATACGTCTTGTTGACAGATGTCGATTACGTTCCTTGTTTCGGAAAATTATAGTTTCAAACTTAATGTGTCAAACGGTCTATAATAATGTACTTTTCAATAAAAATAAAATCCGTAATTTTATTTTCAAA